ACATCAGGGACATGACCATGACCATGCCCTCAGGCATCACCTGGCCCAGAGAGGGTCAGAGAGATGGCCATCTGGCCACTGCCTTTAATCAGACTCCTCCACAAAAGCATCACACATCCTTTTTCTGGGTGGGCAGGAGAAGGCAAGGTGTCTGGACAGACCTAGTAACAACCACCAATTTTTGTCCCTCAAAATGTTCTGGACCTCAGCTGCTCGAAATTCCAATGGCCAGGGATTCTGGAGTTGAGGTCTGACAGCGTCCAGTTGTTGGCCACCATTGCAATAGCGTCCCCCAAAATGGGGCTTTCCAGGTCTGATAGACTACAGTTACCATCTTCCCCAGCCACTCAATAGGACCCCATGACTCTTGCTGATAGAGGCCCAAGACAGTCAGAAGTAGAAATACTCAGATTGGCAATTGCAGCAATCTGCAGGCTGGAAGCTTTTAAATAAAGGCACAATAGCCCTTTGAAGCCTTCGTGGCATTGGCTTCCAATGCATATGTACTGAGCTTTGTTGTGATTGTTGCTGTTGTGTGCCTTCAAGTCATTTCTGACTTATGGAGACCCTAAGGCAAACCTATAATGAAGTTTTCTTGGCATGATTTGTTCAGGGTTTTTTTTGCCTTTGGCTCCCTCTGAGGCTGAGAGAGTGTGACTTGCCTTAGGTCACCCAGTGGGTTTCTATGGCTGAGCAGAAATTTGAACCCTGGTCTCCAGATTTGTAGTCAAATATGCAAACCACTACACTATGTTGGCTAAATTGCTATATAAGCATAGAAGCAGGAAAGACCATTAGCAATTCTTTCTATATTCATTCATTTAGACATTCTTCTACCACTATTCAGTTAAAAAAATCCTGAAGAGGTTTACAACATTACTGTGTTAACCCCCTCTCCAATAAAATAAAATAAAATAAAATAAAATAAAATAAAATAAAATCATAGCAGAACTTTAAAAATAAAAGTATTTCACTAAAACCACCAAATTGACTGCTCTCCAAATTACCAAATTACATTAAAAACATGCATCAAGGGTCAAGCAAAAATACAACTGCAAGATGACCAACTGTTATTTCAAAAACATCTTTATTTTGCTTTAATCAGTTTATTTTTTTAAATAAATATTTGCTTTCCTCCAAGGAACATAGGGACTTAAATCATAAAGGGAGAAATGTGTTGGTAATTGAGAGAGAGAAAAAGAGGATTGCTATTTGAACAGAAAACTCCAGATCACAATAGGGAATGTTTAAAAGGTTTGGACAGCAATAATAATAATACTAATAATAATAATTTAAAAATTGCACTATTTCCCATAATCCTTACTGCAGCAAGAGCTACAGAATGGAAGAGAAGCCTAGAAGGAAAGGAGGCAGAAATATTGGGGTTGGAAAAGGGAGGAAAAAGCCAGATAAAATAGTTATTGACAATCCATGGTGAACACAGCCTCTTTTCTGAAACAGAAGCCCTGCTGGAAATTCAATTCCAATTTTCTTGCAGACAAAAAATCCCCCAGGTTTTAATAAATTGCATGTACATCAGACCAAGAATATTAAAGAAATGTGCACATAAGATGGATAGGTGGGTGAAGAGGGATGGGAGAAGGAAAGGAAGGAAGGAAGATTTTGGGAGCCCTTCCATACTACACACCTTTAGCACTTCTATTCTCATGGTTGCATCC